CAAGGGGGCCACGAAGATCAAAGGGAAGCGGCACCGAGGAATTTTCGGCAAGAGGGCCGGGCTCGGTACGATAGAACAGATGAACCTCACGACGCAGCATCCGAGGGCGATGAGGTATCAGGAAGAAATATTGGTATCGTGATTGAACGCTGCTTACGCGGGGGTCATCGGGCGCTGCGCGGGCAGGGAGAGGCGGCCCTGGGCGGGGTGGGCGGCGAAGGGCGGGCTAGTGGCGAGAGCGGGTGGGCGGTGCACTCGCCGGGAGGGGCCGGGGAGGCGGCAGCAGGGGCGGGGAGGGTCAGCGGAGGCGGGCGGCGCCGGTGCGCGCCTGCGGCACACTCAAAGTAGGCGAGCTTGGCCGAGGCGGGTGTTTCGGCGGCAAGGTCAGGGGCCAGGCCGACGCCGCGCAGGCAGTCGGCGAACGAGTCGTGGGTGAGGGTGTGCGAGTGGGCGAGGCACGAGCCTAGGGTGAGGGGGGGCTCGTCTTAGGGTGAGGGGGGGCTCGTCTTAGGGTGAGGGGTGAGGGTGGAGGCGAGTGGGAGAGGCACGAGCCGGGCAGCACGACAAAGCAGAGGCCGCCCACCCGCAGCTGGCCCCGCATGCACACGAGCATGTCGAAGCGGCGCCGCGCGTCCGGCACGCAGTTGAGCACCTACTCCACACACCTCGCCGCGCTCGCCACCGCTGGCTTTCTCTGGGAGCTGCGGTTTGTATCAGCAGCGCGCCATCGAGCAGACGAGTGCGTCGTACGGCCGCGAGGCGCCGCTTGCCTCCAATGCACCGCCGAGAGGCAGCGTCAGGAAGTCGCGCTGCTCGATGCGCGCATCCTGCGAGTTGAGGTCGAGCGCACGGACGTGCAGCCCCGGCGTGTCGAGCAGCTGCGTGTTGATTGCGCCAATCTCGAGCACGTGAGGCGGCGGCTTGCCGGCGGCGAGGACGCCGTGGGCGCGAAGCCGCCGCGCGACCCAGCGGCTGGTGGAGTGCAGGGCGGTGTTGAACTGGGATGCCTGTTGGTATGCGTCCACGCCGCCGATCGCCTGCAGCTCCGCAGCACACTTGGCGCGCTCGTCGCTCGACGTGGTGTGGTGAAGCCGCTCGGTGATGCGGTGGTACTCGCTCGTCACCTTCCTCGCGTGCTTCCGGCTCTTGATTCGCTTTGGGAGCGGGACGATGGAGAGGCCCATCCGCAAGCAGAGCCGCAGCCGCTCCTCGCTGCTCGGTGTGAACACAGGCCATAAGAGGTATTTTCTTCTCAATAACAAGGCTGTGAAGCACCTCAACCTCTCACAGGCCAGCGCACAGCGCCATAAGAGGTATTTTCTTCTCAATAACAAGGCTGTGAACCTGCGCGCGGGCCTTCTAGGCCCGCGGGTAGTCTCCCCCCATCCCCAGGGCCTCCAGGGCTCGCACCTCAACCTCTCATAGACCAGCGCAAAGGAAAGTATTTTCTTGTCAATAACAAGGTCTGTGAAATACACATTATTTAGATTCGATACCAGGTGTATTCTTTTTTTGCTTGGGCGGCCCTCATCACGGGGTAGGTAGGGTAGGTCTGGGCCCTCCCGTCGGGTTTTCCCCTCTCTTCACGCTGGAATTTTCACGGCAGAAAAAGAAAATTTCCGGAAAAATCACGATGTCAAACGTCCCCAAATGGGTGATCTGATGCTTGTAGCATGTAGGGCCTGAGAGTGGCCTG